GCCCCCCTCTTGCCACCCCATAAATATTTTTTCTAGATCCGCCCCTGTTGTGTTAAAAAGCTTCATTCATTATGTTATTAGTTTTTCATAAAATTGCAATACAATTCAGACCTTCTAGGAGGCTGTAGATTTTATAAAAACTCCCCATGACAGGAGACAGCACTTCTCTGGATGTTTCATCTGAAAGGTGTGATGGAAATTAAGTTTTTAAACATATTCAATGGACCAAAATAAAGATAAATGAATAAGATAAATAATAATAAAAGAAGAACATCCCTGTGGTTTCTCCTCTATGAATCCAGGATAACTGAGTTGTTCTGCATAATCCTCTCTTGATGTGGTTGGTCTTTTCTTTGGTGGCTGATCTTTTAAAAAATAAATGAATAAAAATATTAGTGTTAGTTTAATTACTCCTAAATGTCAACAGGAGATTATTAAACTAGACTGAATAATTATTTAACTTGTGAGCAAAACATGGACTAAAACTGGAACTAAAAAAGCACCAGGTAAAGAGAACACAAACCATTGGATGTATTCCTTTTTAGTGTGAGAAATTGGGAATATGGAGCGAGAGTGTGTGAAGACACTGAGATGGGTGAGTCCCACTCCCAGTGGGTGAGAGTTGACAGCCCTGTAGAAGGCATGGACAGGGGACAGGTGTCAATATATACCCATGTTTTAAGAAGTCTTCTTTTAATAAGAAATGACAGAAGAAGTGTGTGAATGTGCACAGCTCTAGAGTACTGGTGGGCTTTTTAAATCCACATCCTCATCCTGCACACTGCCTGTCAGCAGTGTTGCCAAATAGAGATGAGGTTTTCCAGCCCAAACATCCGTTAAAAACCACCATAGGTGGTTTTTAACCAGTGTAATTAAGACCAAGGTCTTAATTACACTTTCTGAGTGGGTTCTAGTAATATATGATATATAATATCTACTTTGAAAGTTAATGTTAAGGTAATCACTCTTATCTACCTGGATATTCTCTGGAGGCCTGTCAGTTACGTCTGTCTGTGGGTCAAGGGTCTGTCAGGGCAATGAACGAAGTTTCACCCCATTTCTCTGCTTCTGTAACTCGACGATTTCTTGCTCATAGTTTTTCATGTGCTTATATAAACTTATGTTTCTATGGCATTTAACCAACTTATTATAAACCATACAGCTGTTGTTTCTTTTATGGTATTAAGATATAACCAAACGGCCCTTCGTTCGCTCTTCTTCATCTTTTTCTGCTCCGGCGTGTGAGGACCAGTAGAGCAGTTGTTTGTGTTTGGAGTGGAGAGAGAGCTGAGTGGGCGGGGCCAGGCGGGGCCAAGCTGAGCCTGCGTGCTGAGCCGGTGACGAGAGGTGAGTGGGGGAGCAGCAAAGTGCTGTAACACAGACGGGGAGACTGGTGAATCTGCTGCAGTTAGTGCATGCGGGAGAGAATAAAAAGGATCGGACTTGTTAAACGAGTATTGTTCAATATCAATACCAGTGTTGGTATCGATAGTATCAATCCTAGGATCGATCCGCCCTCCTATTTCGCACTTCCATTAAAGTTGACAGGATCGACAGGCCCATTCGATTTCTGGACATGTCTTTAAGCTAAACAACTTCTGAAAAAGCTATCTAAACTGGCGCATTTGATATAAGGAGGGTGAGGAGTTTAATTGCGCCAAGTGCTGAATCCCGAAAGCAGCGATTTCCACCAGCATCTTAAAAAGATTCATCTTCCAACCAGAACGCATTGATCGTCAGTGCCAGATCCACCTGCTGCCAAAACTAGCATAATTTGTGATGCCACTACACTAGTTCTCTGTTGTAAACACCCTGGCAGATGACATTAGCAAATCAGTGATTCAGGGAGACTCTGCTGTTAACCAGTAATGATGAACGATTGGTGGACATGTGTTTTATCTGACTCCGAACCAGCCCAAATTATCTCCACCCACCCAAAGCAATTTTTACCCTTAAAATCAAAATGAAAATCGCCCAATTGGGTGGTAAATCGCCCAATCTGGCAACACTGACTGTCAGCTGGCTAACCTAAGGCCTAGCTTTTTTTTTTTTTTTTTTTTAGCCTAACCGTTTTTCCCTTGAGATCTTTTTAAGTATTATGTCAGTTGTTTTCAGTTAATTGTATTTTTCTATTTTTAGCTTTTAAATAATGTATTTATTAATTAATAATTTTAAGGCAAAGTCAAGATATTGCAGAAAAGATTTCTTGTTGTAGAGACAGCATAACTATGGAGGATGCAGAGAGTCATTGAAAAATAAATGGCTGGATCTTTTTCAGTGACTCTCCTTGTTCTCCATATATCACCAGCCATAATGTGGTAACTGATAAAATAGGGGCTGCCTATCAGTATTTTTATTTAAAAAAAAAAGCAGTTTTAAAGCTACACATGACTCACCTTGAGCAGCTGTTTGTTTATTATAGTGCTTTTAATTTTTGAAGTACATGGGGACAAAAGTTTGGACAAATATGCTGTTAAGACATTAACCTTACATGCTACTAAATTTCATTGCATATATTCTCTATTGTTGGTTAAGTTTTCATAGAGAGGTCTTGTAAGTGTAAAAATCAAGATAATCAATTACAAAATTCTTATTGAATCGATGATCAAATGATCTCTGTGAAGCACTCTGTTTTAAAAATGTGATATATAGATAAAGTTTATTGCTATGTTATTTTGGGCATGGCTTGCGATTTTCACTTTTAAGTCAAACTGGTTAGTCTGTGTAAGACATGATATCTTTAGAGTAGATTATCATCCAATAAAATGCTGACCACATCTCTCTCATGAAAGAAAAAGTTATATTTTTGGAAGCACAAATTGCATCCTTTAACTCAGCCCTGTTTTTATCAGGGTTCTATGTCAAAGCACCGCTGTGACAGACTAAAAAGACATTGATTGTGTAAAGAGTGCTCAGTATGAACAAACTCTTTACACAATCAAAGTCTGAGCCTCAGACCTGCTATGACCTGGAGTCAAGTGCCTGGGCTTGGCTGCATTCAAATTCATGGGCTGTGTCTTCTAAGAACACGATCTACCTGGACTGAATCCCTCGAAGTCCGTTAAAATAAGGAGACCAGAATAGTTTTGGCTGTGAATTAAAACAGGTCTAGCCTTTAGCGGCTTTCACCACCATACGCTCTGTCCCTTATAAACTGTGACAGTTGACACACAAAGCAGGAAAAGAATGAATACCGAACTTTTCAAAACTGTTTCTTTTTAATTTTTTTCTTTTTTTGTTATTGTAAATTGAACAAAGACAACACTCATAAGAATACAGAGTGGAATAAAGGTGACAACAACCACAACGCAACCGTTGTTAATGTTTGACTTTCCAGCCTTTCGCTCATCCAAAGTCTCAGCTTTTGGCTGCTTTGATGAAGTATTCTGTGAATGAAGGAGTTCAAAGAGAGAGAAGATTATGATGTGATGCAGAAATATGAATGCAGAATGGCTGCTGCTTTTTTGGCAATTCAAAAAATAAAATAAAATCAGCCATTTACTGTAAAGTAGCCTAAATTTATGGACATTTTTAATGGTGTTAAATTCCTGCCAAAAATCAGAGGAGCTAATTAAGCAATAACAATAGTGATATATTAATCACAACCACGCATTTAGCAGTGATCGCGGGTAATTCGAGCGCTCTTGAACGCAGCAACCCGTGCAGAAAAAAGAACCCATCTGTACCATCTGAAAAATGACACTCCCTTGCTCTGTTTGGGGGACATTTCTTTCAGTCAGGGGAAGTTTCTATTCTGATGGATCTGATTGGCCAGATTTTCAGCTCGTATCTGATGGAAGCTAGCAGATAGCTTGGTGTTTCTGAATTATTTCTATGGTAAGTTGATGATATCACTACATATTTTGACATTCTGAAGTCATAGCTGCCTTGTAGCAAAAGAATTCAGCAGTTATATGTGACGCAGTCAAATACAATTAATCGTGTTAACCACCTAGTTGTAGTGTAACTGTAGCTAGTGAATAATAAGTGCACTCTTGTGATAGCTTAATACGCTCGTGTGGTTTTTGGCAGCAATTTGACACCATAGTTTTTGGCCTACAGGCAAGACTTGGCAGTCTTGCCTGTAGGCCAAAAACCTCCATGGTGCAACATGGTGGTGGCAGTGTAATGCCGTGGGGATGGTAAGAGTTGATGAAAGGGTTGATTTATCTGAAAAGATAGATTCTAGAAAAAATCCTGTTGGGAGACTTGAGACTGGTGCAGATCAGTACAGTGGCCTACTCAAAGTACAGACTTAAATCTCATTAGGTAGCACCCAAATATTGATGTTAATGATGCTATATGGGGAATCTTCCTGAGGCGATGGTTCCAGATTTAAGGTCTGGGAAGCTGTAGAGTTTTAGGTTCAGTTGAAGGCAGTGCTAAGAAATGTTAGCGTATGCTGGATGACTCATGTAGCATCATCTTTCCTCTTCACAAACAACAAACAGTAACAACAACAACAAAAAAACAAATAGACTGAGGATTTTTGTTTTAACATGCTAAAAAAAAGATTTTTTTCAATATTCGTTTGCAGATAACAGCATGATGAGTTCCTCTTCTGGAACCTCATCTATTGAATGAGAAAGCTTGAACTCCATTTGCGCTTCATCCACTCTAATAGCTTAGTGGACTTTGACTGTGAGTGTTTGAATATGGGCTTGGTGTTGAGTAAATCCTGAGGTCATACTTGATGCGTGTTTGCTCGTTGTATCATCTGTTTGTGTGTGTGTGTGTGTGTGTGTGTGTGTGTGTGTGTGTGTGTGTGTGTGTGTGTGTGTGTGTGTGTGTGTGTGTGTGTGTGTGTGTGTGTGTGTGTGTGTGTGTGTGTGGAGGAGAGGGCAGGACACAGGCAGTGCGTTGTATGTAGACCAGCAGCCCCACTTATTTGGAACAAAAGCTCTGTTGTTGATAGATCATGTGACCCTGTACGTGTGTGTGTGTGTGTGTGTGTGTTCCACCCTCATCATGTGATGCAAGCTCGAGGCAGGCTCTGAGAAGTGCTGAGTCGATCAGAGAGGTTCCTTCCACCGAGGGAGCGGGTGTGCATGCAGAAACAGCAGATGGATAGATGTCTGTCGGATAGAGACGCAGGAAACCCACTGGACCTTTTCTGGTAGCGCAGAGGGGAAGCATCAGTCATCCAGCCTATTTTTGGACAAGTAGAAGAAAAGTGAAGATGCAGGGCTTCATTTTGAATCCACATATGAGTGACGAGGCAGGTTTGGGCTTGTTCTGTTGAGAGTTTTAATGCTTTTATGGGGAATATTTTCATTGACATGTCTTCTCAATGACCGCTGACCGAGATCGTTCATTTCAAAGCTTCACTCCTTATGTACTCTTCAGCAAACTTACCATTCAGACATTTATCTTTTTTCTAGTCTGCTCCAAAATAAGTTTTTCTTTTTGTGTTTTTTTCTGAAATTGTCACAGCTTAGTGTAAACGAGCAACAGTCCAGGGTTATTTGATGAACCTCTGCTGAAAGAGACGCATTGAAATGAGAACTGATGCAGTCGTTAGAGATGAGAAGCAGTTAGGCAGCCACGTGTCCTCAGTCATCCTGCAGGTCCTGTATGGCTTGTTTGATTGAACAAACCTGCTCCAGGGACCCTGCAGGTAACCTGCTGCTTTGTCTTTTTCTCTGCGAGGGTTCAAATGTCAAGCATACGTTTCCCAATTGCTCATTGGTCCATCTGTCATGCAGTGGTTGGACTTGATCTCAGCACAGAGCACATGCAGGACTATGCTCTGTTGACACACCCTTCCACTCTGTAACTGCTTCTTTTTAACTTCTCACTACACAGAGACACTTTTCAGCCCCAATCTGACCGTTGAACTTGTAGGAGTGGAAAAGTTAAGCTACAGTAACTGAGAGAGCTCAGAGTAAAGTCTTCTTCTTTTCTATTAGGGTGGATTGCAAGAAACTAAAGGGTAAAGTCCTCCATATAGGCAGTTAATCAATAAATAAATAATTTTGGAGCAACTTTGGGAATATCATGTTATTATTTAGCATGTTATAAATAGGACTGAAACTAGACTTTTTAAAGCTGCATATACATTTGAAACTAGATATTTAGATATACTTTATATAAAGTCACATAACTTATGAATGCAGAACTTTCCAGTTTTATTACAGTTTAGATTCCCCCGAAATTGTTCAAATGTTTTAGGTGTAATTCCACAGTAGTTAACTTGAGTTTGGTTCATTACTCTTGTCAGAACAGATGTAAGTTAAACAAGTTTGAAGACCGCCTGACTCCCACACACCTTTGGCTTTAAGACAGAGACTCCAGAACACTGACTCTGTATTCCTGATGGCGCTCTGTTACTAATACGCCTCATGGTCCTTTTTGAAGACTCATTTGCTCCCAGGCTTTAACATGTCTTTCGATGCTGCTTACCTATTTCCTCATATTGCCTCTTACTTATAATAATGTTTAGGAAGCACAAAAAGTGTTCTCACTTTTTAGGTCTCTTTTTTCCCTAAAATGTTACATATTGTTTTTATTTAATTGAATAATAATTGCCTTTTTGTTGGTTTTGAATTAATGGCTTCTTGCTCTATGTGTTATCCTCCAACATTTGATAAGATAAAATCAGAGAACTTTATTGTCCATCACATTTCCTGAGACGATTTGTCTTTGACATCTGGCAACAGTTAATACATAAAACACATCATTTAAAAGGCATATCTAAAGGGATTGCATTAAAAATATGATATAAAGAATATATTTCACACACTTAAAATCTCTAAAACATAAAAAAAGGATGAATAAATAAATGAAATAGGAGTCATTCCGCTGTGGAAAATGACCAGATTTAGCCGGCATCTTGCTTTTGTTCGAATCTTAGTTTACACCTTGGACACAGAACCGGTCTCCTCTGTAAACGGTGTGGTTGATCCATCCTTTGCTGTCATGCCTTAAACAGATGAACCTGACACCTTTAGAAATCTGGAAATTAGATCCAAGGATGGGTAGGTCACTTCCTGAACTCTGGGCCTATTTCTGTTCATTTTTCCATGATGGTTTGTGAGAAATCAGCCTTTAAATCCATCAACAGCTGTCAGGTTCAGTGTCAGAGAGAACAATCTGGTTAATGTGTAGACTTTTTGTAAACAGCTGGTTGTAGCTCAGCAGATCTTTGCCACTGTATGATGCTAAATAATTGAGCTAACAGCAGGTTGGTCCAAGTAGCAGAGACTGGCTCATCCATTATACAGTGGTGAGTGTAGCTGAGTGTATCCAGGGTCAGAATAATTAAAAACTCTCAGGATGCATATATAAATGATAGCTTTGGTTTCATTTTAAAAGTGACCAACTTTACCTTAAAAAAAAAACTATTTGGTTTAAAAAGGTAAAATAATTAAAAATACTAGGAATTAGATTTCAAAACCAAAACCTGCACGCACTAAATCATGATTTTAATGGATAACATTATTCTAAAACGTAATTTAAAAAGTCAAATCTATAAGATTTTATTTCCATAAAAAAAATGTAAAGTTCGAGATGTTAAGTCCAAAAACCTACATGCTAAATAACGTTTTGAAATATAGCCATAGTTATAGTCAATTCTCTGAAGAGTTTGAGATATTAGTTTATAAGTTCATAACTGTGTGACTGTCTGAATGTTGATCAGCTTTAATTGCTTAATAGTAAATTGGTGTGTGGATGTTCGTGTTCCACATTAGTGTCTGACCTCAAAATGAGCTTTTAGGAGAATAGAAGAAATAAAAAAAGATTCCCTAAAAACACCTAAACTCGATGGAAACCATTGCATGAAAGGCTCTTTTTCAGCTTTGCCACACATCAGAACCAATCAGAGGAACAGACAGGATGTAGAGAGCAGCTTGGTATCAGCTGTTTTTCACACTGAGCTATGATGAAAACAAATCAAACTATTTAAGTCAGTCTGACTAATTTTTGTTCTGTATTTTGTTTCCAATTCATCAAGTTTAAATATGATTATAAGAGCTTTATTTTGTATTTATTTCGATTCTTTATTAACTTTCAGGCAACATATTTATGTGATTTTTTCTTTTAGACTGAAACCATACAATGCGTAAGAATTAATAAAATATTAGGTAAAACTGTTTTTATTTTATAATCAGTTATTATAGGACAATCATCAATACTTTTGACTGAGAGGGGGTATTCATTAGAAACAAACTGAACATAGGGGTACAGAAGTCAAAAAAAGGTTGGGAAGCACTGCTCTATGATATGAGTGAGGGCAGACAACAGTCCCTTACCTAGGCTGACCTGTAATTATAAAGTTATGACAGTGGAAAGTGTGATAAAAAAGGCTGGATGAGGACCCAGGCCTCTTTTCCATCCTGCACAGTAAGGGAGAGGATAAAGGCATATAGAATATATCAAAGTTTACGGTAAAAGGACTGAATTCATCTTAACATCGCTTTAGCTTTAGACTCTTTCACCAGTAATTGTCTAGGGTCCACTTGTTTTTTGCACCTACATTTGCATCTACATTGCTTATATCACTAAGCAGCTTAGATGAGAAGATGTTAAAAGGTGACAGACTCTTGTCTTATTAAAAGTTGAGCTGTACGGGGCAGGAACTGAGTGGTTTCTAGTAAATGTTGAGCCCCAGTCGGCCTCAGCAGATGGCCGCTCACACCGAGCCTGGTTCTGCTGGAGGTTTCTTCCTAACGGGAATTTTCCTCTCCATTGTCGCTACAACCATGCTTGCTGTGAGGGATTGTCTTTGAGACAATGAGTCGATGCAATCAACTGGTTTTCTTTAGATAAAAAACTTTGAATCAATCTGACTGTATGATCTGGTTGGATTGTCTGGTAGAAGAATTTGCTTCCTGTAGCAGCAGACCGACATGTCCTGCAGGCTGGAGCCTCTTAAGGACGAGATTGGGTTGTTTGTAACAGGAAGAAAAGCACAAGAATTTTTTTTTTTTAACAGATTTACGTTTTTGCTTTTGCTTTAAGAACTCATGAGAATGCCAGTAAACAATACATCCTGTTTGCTTTGCTTAACGTTTGGAAAATCTATCATTTCTGCATATGCCTTTTAAGATTTTAAATCTAATTGATCGGGTTGTTTTTGTTTGTTTTTGTTGTCCAGTGGCTGCTGTTAGCAGAGATGACCACAAGGAGGGGCTGTGTCTCCTTATCCCTAAGGAGCATGAACCATGACATCAGTAGTGCTGGTTGACAGAGGTGGGACACTGGTGGAATCAGCTGAAGAAGACCTTCAGCAGGTCTGATGAGGGAGCTTCTTTATTCCTGCTTAATACCGGTTCTGCGTTGTTGAGTCTTTGCCTCATTTTTTTGTTCCATTTTCCAAACAGGAGGAACTGTATGAGGCTGATGCAGAGCTGGAAGGAAATGTTGAGGATCAGTGTAATGCTGGGAAGGTCTGCCAGGAGCTGGAGGGAACAGATGAGGCACCCACTGCTGGCCTGGTCTATGAGCAGGGTTAATCCCTACAGATGGTCGTGTATAGAGATGAAGTCTACTTTGTGCAGGAGATGGAGACTGAAAGAGGTGAGATTTTACCATTGTGCTTTACCAAATGAGAGCCAGGCTGATCATGAGGTCTCCCTCACCACACCTGCACAAACCTCAGCGTACTTCCTTATGATTTTAATCGTTAAAAATTAACACGAAAGAAGCTGGTAAATGCTTTTCTTATTTAAGTAATACAATTCAGCAGTTCCTAGATGTGTTTCTTCCAGCTTTTCACATGTGGAGTCTGAAGTTTTTGCTCAGTGGTGTGAGCTAAACACCTGAAGCCCTGTCAGATTAGAGGTGATGTTTATGACCGGGCCAACATAGCATAGCCTTCGATCCAAACCTTTTCATTGTAGCTATGGCTAAAATCACCCACTGTTAATGTTCTAAACTTTGATTTCTATTTGAGAGCAGCTATTTCACAGGTTTTTATTGTTTCTCTAGTACAGATGAATGTGTTTCAGTGAGATAAGATGGAAATATTGAAGGTGTTTTGTGATCTTATAGCAATTGACTGTCAGTTATAAAAAAAAACTAAATCAGAATCTCTCATCATTGTCATTGCTGTAGAAAAGGATCCCCACAGCATAATGCTGCTTTCGCCATGTGTAACCACATAGCAGTAGTTTGGGGATGGTGTGTAGATCTCGGATCCATGCTGTCCTTTCCCAGCCTTAGTAAGGTGGACAACATGTCCTGATAGGTAGACATGCTTTACCCTTTCCTTTATTAAATGATTAATTCGATACAGCTCCTAGAGATGATCTGTGTTTTATTTTCTAACTGCGTTGAATTTAACTAATGTTCTATCTCTTTAAGACCTCAAAAGAAGAATTGCATTCATACTGAGGTAGAATAACATACAGCTTGTTTTGTTTCCTATTTACGGCTGAAAGCTGATATTAATCCCTGCATAACTTGAACAATTTAAGCTTCATGTTTTGAGCAAAACCAGACTGAGATGCAGTTTTCTTAGATCGCCACCTTGTGGATATAATTTAAACAGTGGATTCTCAAAGGGTAAAAATTTAATGTTTATTATTAGATCCATAAATTATTGATGATAAGGTCAGTTATTTTCTGGATAGATGCAGGTCTTTTCTTATAAAATCTCATTTAAGATATTTTTATGGGATACATTTTTTTTAACTAAAGCAGTTAGTCTGTCATTTTATTGTACCACCCTGTCTAGGAAATTGAATATTTTGTTTTCATACTTTACTTTTATTTTTATCAAGCACTTTTGTCTTTAAGAATTTACTCTTTTCATCACTTTATCATCCATTGATTTGAAACAATCAGTTTTTACCTGCTTGTCTTCACAAATACTGAGAGATCCCCCTTTTCTTTAACTATTCAATAAAAGATCCAAGAGCTTTCGCCTCTTTGGTTTGTAAACAAATAGACCAATTACATCCTCCCTGCACCTTTTTTAGAGAAGTGTTCGGAACATGTGCATAATTACTGTCATTTATTTCTGTTGAATTCAAAAAGGCTCCTTTTGTCACTTACTAGGGTTTTTTTTCTGTTGTGTATTGAAGTTATTGTAAAGATTAATGCAAAAGGTAAACAATGCAACAGCCAGAAGGGAAATCAGACAAAAAACGTCTGACTTGTAAATCTCTACAGGTATTATAAAGATGTAAGCACTTTATCCATTAATTTCTCTCAGTAAGCACTACCTTCATGTTTACTTAAATTTTTAACTGATATTGGAAATTCTCATATTATATAAATGTGTTTACATTTTATTTATTTAGTTTTCTTTTTTTATGAATATGCAGGTTTAAGTTAGGTGCTGAAGTTAAATAAAGTTGTGGGAGGGAAAAAACAGAGGTCAAAGATGTCCAAAGTGTGGAGGAGAGCATAGCTATGATGAATGTGAAAATGGGAAGGAAACTTGTTGTAATTGTGGAGGGCAACATAGAGTGACTTATGGGGGATGTGAGGTCAGAAGAAAAGCAATGTAAATCGAACAAGTAAAAGTCACTAGTAATATAAGTTATGCAGAAGCTGCTAAAAGAGTGAAGCCAAAAGAAGTGATAAAGAAAGTTCAGCCAAATCCAACACCAGAACAAAAACAGAGTGGGATGGAAAATGTGCAAACAATTGAAAATATTCTGCTGTTCATTGCATATGTCATAAATTGTACGGATCAAGTTAAACAAAAAACAGAAAAAATCAAAATAATTGTGAAAAGGGCAGAGAGGTTTTTTGGTAAAAAGGACATATCCTGGGAACACATAAATAAGAGACTTGGGGCAGAAGGAAAGGCAGGAGGACAGGAAGACAAAATCTGAACATCTTACAATGGAACGCTAGAAGCCTTATTGCAAACGGACAAGAGTTTAAAGGATTTGTTAAAGAATTTAAAGAAGATCTAGATATTATATGTATTCAGGAAACTTGGCTTAAAATAAATCTTGATTTTGTTATAAAAGGATATGAAAGCATAAGAAGAGACAGAGAGGGAGGATCTGGAGGAGGGTGTATAACATTCATAAAACAGGGAATTCAATTTAGATTACTGGCTAAAGGTAAAGATTTAGAATACATCGTTACTGAAATTTGGACAGTAAATGGGCCATTTAAAATAATCAACTTCTATAATCCATGTAAAAGACTTTCAATAGATTTAATGGAGGAACTTGGGGTATATTTAGAGGGTAAGGTTATATGGTGTGGGGACTTTAATGGACATAATACATTATGGGGTAATCATAATGACCAAAATGGGGATATAATAGAAGAAATAATGGATGTTAAAAATTTGGTATGTCTAAATGATGGAAGTGGAACCAGAATCAATTTTAGAGATAATACAGAGTCAGCAATTGATTTAACATTAGTTTCAAATTCTATAGCAGGTGTTTGTTTATGGCAAGTAATCAATAAAACAACTATAGGAAGTGATCATTATCCTATTTTGATTGAAATAAAGTTAAATATAGAAAGGTATTGTATAAAAGGGATAAAGAAATGGTGTTTTAGGTCAACAGATTGGAAAACCTTTAGGAATAGTAGTGAAATGAAAATGTTAAAAGTGGATATGAGTGGTAGTATTGATGAAATAAATGTTTCTATATGTAATGCTATCTTAGAAGCTGCTAATCAGGCTATAAGGAAGAAAGGTGGGGGAAGGGAAAGAAGGTTGGTGCCCTGGTGGACATCAGAATGTAAGGAGATTATCAAGAAACGAAATAAAGCTTTCAAATTATTAAAAAGAAATCACAATTTTCAGAATCTGACTAACTACAAGAAATTACAAGCAAATGTAAGAAGAATTATTAAAAATGCAAAAAGAGATTATTGGAGGAGTTTCTGTAATTCAGTAGGGAGGGAGACAGATATTTCTAAGGTGTGGGCAACAATTAAAAGGATGAATGGGATTAAAAGAACGAGTGGATATCCAATATTAAATGAAGGAGAAATAACAGCAGTTACTGACAGAGAAAAGGCAAAAATGTTGGTAAATACCTTTGTTAAAATTCATAGTTCTGAAAATATTAGTCAAGAAGGGAAAAAAGGGAGAGAAAAGACTATTTTGGAGAACAAGTATTTATTACAGCAAATAGAAGATACAAATGAACCGTTGAACATGTTGTTTACAATAACAGAACTGAATAGGGCTTTTAAAAAATATAAATTATCAGCTCCAGGAAAAGATCAAATTTATTATGTTATGATTAGCAACTTAAGTGAATCTTCTAAAAATATTTTATTAGAAATGTATAATAGGATATGGGAAGATGGGGAATTGCCAAAGAGTTGGAAGGAGGCCGTGATTGTTCCAATCAGAAAACCAGGGAAAGATGAATCAAAACCAGGAAATTATCGGCCAATAGCTTTAACATCCAACTTATGTAAAATAATGGAGAGAATGATAAATGAAAGATTAATATATTATATTGAAAAGAAGGGACTTATATCATCTTATCAGAGTGGTTTTAGAAGAGGTAGAGGTACAATGGATCCAGTTTTGTGTTTAGAGCATGAAATTAGAAAGGCACAGGTGAATAAAGTGTTGTGGCAGTATTTTTTGACATTGAGAGAGCATATGACATGATGTGGAGGGAAGGGTTATTAAATAAAATTAGAAGAATGGGTATAAATGGCCATATGTTTCGATGGATTAAAAATTTTCTAGAAGATCGACGAATACAAGTGAGGATAGGGGAGGATTATTCTGAGAGTTGGAAAATTGAAAATGGAACACCACAGGGAAGTATAGTAAGTCCGTTATTATTTTCAGTGATAGTTAATGATATGTTTAAAGAAATAGAGGGTGGAATGGGATTCTCATTATTTGCAGATGATGGAGCAATGTGGAAAAGAGGAAGAAATTTTGAATTTATTGTAAAGAAACTTCAGGAAGCAATTTCAGTTGTAGAAAAATGGTCATATAAATGGGGTTTTAAATTCTCAGTAGAGAAAACTAAAATAATGTTTTTTACAAGGAAAAGAGTTGATGAAAAAACTAACTTAAAATTATATGGTCAGGATTTGGAAAGAGTTAAACAATTTAAATTTCTCGGGATGTGGTTTGATGAAAGAATGACATGGGGTGTGCACATTAAGAATATAATCGATAAATGTAGGAAGGTAATAAATATAATGAGGTGTTTAGTTGGAACAGAGTGGGGAGCTGATAGAAAATCATTAAAAGCTATTTATACTGGGTTAATCAGGTCTGTCCTTGATTATGGATGTATAGTTTATAACTCAGCAGCAGATACAAACCTCCATAAGTTAAATAGCCTTCAACATCAGGCTTTAAGAATATGTACTGGCGCTTTTAGAACTTCTTCAACAGCAGCATTACAGGTTGAAATGGGAGAAATGCCACTTAAAGTTAGAAGAGACCAATTATCTTTAACCTACTGGTCAAATTTACAGGGACAAAGGAAGGATCATCCAACATTAGAGGTGCTTAAACCTGGATGGGAAAAGGAAAAGAAACAATTAAAGAGCTTTGGATGGGTAATAAACACTAAAGTTAATGAAATTAATTTAAATCAGTTAGATATATGTCAGACAGTTCCAATAACAGCAATTCCACCTTGGATACTTCCTGATGCTAAAGTTGATCTCTCATTATTAGAAAAGAAGGAAAAAGATAAATTTCATATTATGAATAAATATATAGTACAAGAACACTTAAATAACTATTATAATTATATACAAATATATACAGATGCATCAAAAAATACTGCTAATAGGGTAGGGATAGCATTTATTATACCACAGTTTCATATTAATGTTGGAAAAAGGATTAGTGATGGAGTTTCAGTATATACCGGTGAAATGCTAGCTTTGCTTTTAGCAGTTCAATGGGTGGAAGAGGTAAGACCATTAAAATCTATCATTTGCTCAGATTCCAGTTCGTCATTAGTCAGTTTGCAAAATAATCAGTCAGTCAGTAGACCAGATATATTACTTGAAATACAACAAACACTTTACAGAATAAATATGATGGGGCTAGTGGTAAATTTTGTTTGGGTTCCGGCACATAACGAGATAAAAGGAAATGAAAGGGCAGACAGGATGGCTAAGGAGAGTACCAATAAGTTAAGGGTAGACATTAATGTTAGTTTTGGTATAACAGAAATAAAGGGTATAATTAAACAAAAAGCAAAAGAGAGGTGGCAAAAGTTATGGAATGAAGAAAAGAAAGGAAGGTGGCTTTATAAAATACAAAAGAGAATTGGACCAATGAGAAGATCAGAAAGGAACAGGAGAGAAGAGATTATTATTTCTCGACTTAGAATAGGACACACTGGATTGAATAGATCGTTATTTTTGATAGGGAAACATCAGACAGGGAAATGTGACTGTGGGGAAGATGAGACTGTGGAACATGTCATTTTAAATTGTAGTAAATATTCGATACAGAGAAACAGGTTAATAAGGAAACTTAGTGACATGAAAATGAAACTTGACATTGTCGATTTATTGCAGAAGGAATCAGGAAGCAGAGGATATCGGGTTATATTTGAATTTTTGAAACAGATTAGGTTGTATAATAGGGTATAGTTTTATTTTAATTTTTTTTTTTTCTGCCATGTAGTCCACACTCCATACCAGTTGGTGGCGGTAATGCTCACCTAACGTTTTTTGCCAACCGCCAATAAAAATCAATAAGAAGAAGAAGAAGAAAAAACAGAGGTTGTGACGTATGAACTACGCAGCAGAGGGAGGGCGAAAGGAGGATTTCCTGTGTCGCCTCGCGGAGGGATACGTTCATGTTTGCCTTATTCATCTCGTTGAGATTTCGTTTCAGCTGCGGAGTGATCTTAGCGGTGAGAAGTCAATGTGAATCTGCAGCGAGAGGGGGGAAACATGGCGACTTCACAGCATGAGGGGCACGCAAACCAGCTCGATCTGCTCATCAGAGCCGGTAAGACGGTTTTGCGATTTAAGAACTCCGGATCTAGAGCGGTGTTTGACGGGCGGCTTTTGTTTTGAGGCTCGAAGCGCGTAGCATCGGCCCGCCCGCGGCGGTGGAGCGATCAGGAAGTGATCACCTTGGTCGCAACCTGCATGGCGTTGCTCACGGTTATCAAACCCGCTTTAAAAAACGAGGGAAGCTTGCAACTGGATGGATCAATGTGCGCCCTCCAGTAGATGTGTGCATGGAGCGCATTTTGCATGTTTTGGTTATTTTCCAGGCAGCTCTGTGAAGGTGAATAACGGATCGGGGCTGCACAACCAGGAAGTGAATAGTTGTTGTCTTTGCCACGCTGTCTGAGGCGGAAGGACATGTGGGATTATTTTTACTAACTAACTACCTCGTATTGAAATTTTATATAATTGTTTATGTGTTTTCTGGAGCTAAGCACTTTAATTTGTTTCTTACAAAATTAATTCAAAATAGTTGATAAAAAGTAGACCCTGTATTTTCAATTCCTTTTCGCAAAATCGGTTCACTTCAGCTCAGATTTCGGTTTGGCTTTTGGGCAAAATATCCCGATTGTTGAGTTGTTATATTTTGGCTTTATAATCGCCGAAAAATCGCCTTTTTTCCTGTCTCTTTTTTGGTCGCGTGGGACGGCCTGGCTACACTCGCTTTCTTCCCCTACAAGTGTCCAATCAGATTCCAGCAGGGGCGGGACTCTAGCCGCAGCGCCAACCAATGGGGATCCGTGGCGGCTGTTGATTGACAGGAGGATTTGTCTGCTTCTTCGAAGAGAACTGGAGGGAAATAATGAGGAGTGTAAACACGGAAGTCGTCAGAGGCAGAACTACTTTTTGTCGGACTTTCAGGGAGATGATTATTCTAGGCAGCTTCTCTAATGCCATATGTTGCATTCCAACGCGTTTTATTTTATTTAACGTTGAATTAAACGGTAGAGGATTTCTTGAGAGCTAGAAAAAGCTTTTTTTTGCTAATACTTTTAGCTATTTGTTGTTGGCTGCCTTTGTTAGAGAGAGAGACTGGATGCGCGCAGCTGTCTAAAGATAGCCTGTTTCCCTCTCCTGCACCGTTAGATACCCAAACATGGACAGGGTGTAATGCTTATTTCAGGTTTCCCACCGGTGATTGACAACAACAGCAGGTGCCCTCAGAGTCCCTCTCAGGGGCCAAGCGGAGGCCAAACTTCCTTTAACAAAGCCTTGGTTTCACATTCCTTTAGAAATTCTTCTATTTTTAAAGTTCAAACTAAGATTTTCTGCTTATACATGTTTCTACATGCTGTTAATTAATTCATTATGTTAACTTTTGCAGATATCTTCCTCTTTATGTTCACATCCATTGAACTCACATTTATGGTGCCTTTTAATTTGCTGCTTTTTTAAGAATATGAACATGAATATAAAATAATTTTGGCACATTTAGTGGAAACACACCTGTGCATATGCAGACATCTCTGTATGTTGGAGTGATGCTCAGGTCGCCTCCCTGTCAGTTTTATGTGTGAACCTGAACACGGAGGAACAATAATTAGTTTTTAAAGACTGAAACAGTAGATTGCGAAGGTCTAATAAAACTTTTCTTCTTTTTTTTTCAATGTTACAACCACATTTTTAGTTGATTTTATGTTAGCATTATGTGATCAGAGTTGTGTGTACAATAGTGATATTTGATTAAAAATGATTGCAGTATTTTCTCTTTTCAAATCTCCCAATTGTCAGCTTCCTTTTACTTTTGATCAACCCTGGGGAAAAACACTGTTTAACTAATTCAATTGTTGGGTTTTAAATACTCAATAGAATATTTATGAATACACACAATTTTCTTTCTTTGTTTTCTAAACAGTTTTATCTGTAAAATGCAGAAATATTTGAAAATGCTCCTTTTTTTCTATGGATTGATTAGGTCGCTTCAGGCTTTGCTTTACCTGTCAACTATGTTTCTGTTCCAGTGGAGGCTTCTGGTTACAGCAATGTCCACTGCTCTGATAAAACCTTTGAGGCTGCAGAGGCTCTGTTGCACATGGACTCACCATCCAGCCTGAGAGAAGACCGCAGCCCAGGTAACTAGAGTCTGACACCCCCTGTTTGCCATTTTGCTAGAAACAGTCCAATATGCTACTGAATATTTGCTTAGACTGTGAAATAAGCTAAGCTGGTCTAGAAATCTAGAGATCCTCTTATTAAATTGCCTTTCAAACTATTGCTGAATTCCTCCTTTCAGAAGCTTTTACCCCACAAAGTGAAGCTACCCCAGACTTTCTCCACGCTGCCATGCGGCCTGACATGATCACAGAAACAGAAGTGGAGATAACCACCGAGGAGTGCTGCGAGGAGGATGAGGACGACGAGGAGGATGATGATGAAGAGGAGATGGTCACCTCACTAGAAGAGCCGGAGCCCAAAAATGAGCCAATCAGAAAGAAGCGAGGTACACAAACACAGCATCTTTTCCAGAGCCTAAAATCATGGGCTATAAAACTCAAAATAATGCACGAACGCCATCTAGTGGTCATCTAGAGCCACAATGTTTCCTTGATTTAGGAAACAGTTGAATCCAAGATAGTAGCTGGAATTACATATGTCTGCATGTCAAACTGTGTAGTTTTGGCTCTAGAGGAATAACAGCAACACAATGGAGACAATCACACAAAGTGCTGTGTTTAAACAGTAGCTGAGTGGAGATAAATCTATGGACATATTAATGCCTTGAATGAGAGGCTGGTTCCTATTAACAGAGATGGATCTCATAGATGTTGGTTATAGTACATTCCTCTGTAAAGCTGATTTTAAAGACCCTACTGGGATTAAAGAGTTTATCCAAAAAGTCCAAATGTATATTAAAACTCAAAATTCAGAAAAGTAGTGAAAAAGATCAATGAAAGATCTTGAACGTTTTAAGACCAGGAAGACTTGATTGCAAATAGTAAACAATTAATTTAAGGACTGATTCTAATATATCTGCAGTGTGAGGACTATAAATCTTATGCGATTTTAATTTTTAATTGCTATTTTGCACAATTTGCTTAACTAAGTTTTTTTTGTGTTGTTGAATATAAGATATATTTTTTATACATACATTGTTTAGATTTACTTATCTTTCTACCGCATTTATAGAATATAACAGAATAGAAAATCTCTTTATTGTCCCAAAATGGGGAAATTTACAGCAGCAATGCTCACACAAATGTGGACCTTAGGAAAAAATGTATAAGAATAATAAGAATTCACAGCCCAAACTCTTCCGGTCTCCTTATTTTCACGGACCTCAAAGGATCCGGTCCAGGTAGACTGCATCCTTAGAGGATGCAACCCATAAATTGGATCAGATCCTATATTTTCTCCAATTCAACTGAAGACACAGTCGCCTCCAGTCGCTCTAAAACAGTCCATCGTTGGTAGAGCTTAGGTTTCATTTTGATCAAGCTGGTTATTGTTTAACTTCAGACCTGCTTCCATGAAGGTTTTACTCCACCTGAAACCATACCTCTGTTGCTACGCTGCGCCTTCAGCTTCCTGGTGGAACCATTATTCTGTGTCCATAGAAACAAAGTTAAAATGATGGAGCACACTGCCCCAATCCCAGCACCTTCAATCAATGGAAACTATTTTCTTTTAGCAAAACTAAGAAATGCAGGAAATGTTTGATTAAAAAAAAAAAATATATATAAATGCTCTCTTTTTTTAACTTTAAAATGTATGAAAACCCATTTTTTCCTCCCTAAATTTTACATTTTTACTAGAGTTTCTGATACATCTGAAAGTAAAATCTTTAAAACGATCAATGCATTTATAGCTACTGTTTTAATATGTGCATATTCACCGAGGTGACTTTTTAAAATGTCCCTCTTATAGCTGGACCGAAAATTAAGACATCCCAGACGTCCATTTCCAACGCCGCACATGATCTAAGCCTCAAGAAGAAGCCAAGAGAGGGCAGAGGTATTGTTGTTTGAATAACTCTTGACTTCAGCCGATCTGTACGGTCCACTGGGAAAGGATTCGCCTCCTTACAGTTGGACCTGAATGTTTCAGATCAAACTATTTCAAAAGTCAAAGAAATAAACACAAATGATGCTTTTATTTAAGGTAAACGTCTAGCTAAACCAACCCGTAAACCCACAGTGTCCATCATTACAATAACTGAAGGGATCTGGACCCATCCTTCTCTGCAGTGAACATTGTAGTTCTAATTAAGTCTTATTTTCCTGAAAGTCATGAGGTTCTGAAACATCAGACAGTATTATTAGTACGCTAGGCATCAGGAACATCCATTGTCCCTAAAAGGATTGGGATGAAGGTCTGTTAAACATAAGCTCTGTTTGTACACCTTGAAGCTTTCTCTCTCCGATTCCTGAAAAGATATCACTTGGGACAAACTCTTTAAATAACACTTCATAACGTAAATGTTATATGTTGTTGCTCTGATATAATCGGCTGTTTGATCTGAAACATTTCAGTGCAATAAAAACTCCCAACAGTCTGAAATAATCCAGCAATGAGCATCTTCTGCCCCAAAGCAGCCAATATTTAGCTAACATATTTCTGGCTTTCAGCAGGTAACACCACTTATCTTTGGGAGTTCCTGTTGGACCTCCTCCAGGATAAAAACACCTGTCCCAGGTACATCAAGTGGACCCAGAGGGAAAAGGGCATCTTCAAGCTGGTCGACTCCAAGGCTGTTTCCAAGCTCTGGGGCAGACACAAGAATAAACCAGACATGAACTATGAGACCATGGGGCGGGCGCTCAGGTGACCACTTCAGGCTGATTTAAGCTTTAAAAGCTTTTTTTATTTATATATATATATTTTGCCCTCAAAGGTCTTAAATCTTCCAAATTTCTCTGATCTTTCAGGTATTACTACCAACGAGGAATCCTTGCCAAAGTGGAGGGTCAGCGGCTAGTTTACCAATTTAAGGAGATGCCCAAAAACATCGTCATCATTGACGAGGACAAGGCAGATATGTCCTCCACCGGCGAGCACATGAGCTCAGAGTCGCAGCCGTCCTACGGACGCGTGGCTCCGCCTTCAGACAAACTGCTTCAGAACTCCAACCTGCCGTCCCCCAGGAGGCCCAACATCCTGCGGGGCTCCAGCAGACCTGTTTTAGTCCCCAGTCCTTCCACCACAGTTAGTGGAGCAGCGGGGGTGGGGGCTGCACCGCGGATAGTGACGGTTTCAGCAGCACCTGAAGTGAACCAGATCCCAAACACCACAGCGCCGAGGTAGAGACTGCTGCAAGGACGCCGGAGCTTTCTGTGAGGTCATGGCTAATGCAAAGATTCCTGACGCTGCTCTCGGTCTCTCTCTGTCCTGCTAACAGGACGGTGCGGGTGGCCATGCAGGTGCCGGTGGTGATGACGTCTCTGGGTCAGAAGATTCCCACAATGGCTATGCAGCAGCCAGCAGGGACGACGGTGGCCGCTGGGTCCACCACCCTCCTCACTAACGCCTCTCCTATCACTGCTGCTGCTAATCCTAACTCTCAACAGAAGGTGTGTAGAAAACCCTAACCATGCTGTAAGGAAAAATTTCAATCTAAAATAAGTGCCTTTTTTTTCTTGAATTGAGGAAAAAGAGATACCTTGCCAATGGAATAAGACTATTTACATTTAAAATAAGAAACAAAATAATTATATTATTTTGTTTTAAGATTAAAACATACTGATTCCAATCTTATTTACATACTTATAATTATAAATGGGTTTTTTTTTCCAGTCTGAATGAAAATCACTTAAAAAGGAAATGAATTGGGGAATCATTACGTTTTAATGTAGTCTTGTTTTTAAACTCTTGTTTAAAAGAAAAAGTTTTTTCTTTTTAAGGTTGTCATCCAGACTATACCGACCATGGTTCCAGCCACAGCAGAGAACGGCGATAAGATCACCGTCCAGCTTGCCAAGATCATCACCATCCCAGCTCACCAGTTAGCCCAGTGTCAACTCCAGACCTCCACAGGCACCAACAAAAGCAACGCAGCCGCCTCCCCGACAGGCATCAGTCTCCTGGGAAGCCCCCTGACGGTGCGAGCCCTTGCCCCTGTCAACGTCGCCCCGGGGGCGCAGGTAATGAGACTCAACGTGCCGACGCAGTCACAACCTCAGACTTTGATGGTGTCGCAGCCAGGAAGCGTCAGCTGCAGACAGACGGTCACTCAGACGGCGGCGCAGCCGCGCATCATCGGCGGCGTCATCAACGGCTCGGATCTGGTGATAGGCGGGGCAGGGGGGGTTACGATGGAGAAGCTGAAGGCTGCAGGAGTGCAGGTCCAGGCTGTGCAGGTTCCTCTGACGGTTCAAGTGAACCCAAAGATGAACGTCCAATCAGAGGCCACAGAAACTGTTAGAAAACTGGAAGCTCCACGAGCGATAAAGACAGAGGAGCCTGAGTGTTAAGGAACGAACAGCTTTCCTTTCCTTTTCTCGCTGCCTAACAAAGTTAGTTTGTACATTTCTGAAGTTTTTTTTTTAACTTGTAATAACCAGCAACAGACTTTTAAGGAAAAATCTTTCTAACGTCCTGGATGAAGCTGCTCGGTTTCCCTCAGAATGGCAGTAGAACCCGTTCAGGCGGCGTTCAAGTAGCCCAGCACGGAGTGGACAGATTTCGGTTGGAAGAATCAACGGGACCAACTCTGATCACTACATGAACCGATCATTCACACCGAGTCCGATTGAGGAGAAACACGAAACCACAACACTAAAAAAGACTTAAAAAACCAAAAATCCCCCCAAAAAAATGTTGTTGTTTTTTTCAAACTTGTATCGCTGTGTGAAGAAAGCATGAGTGGCGTTAAGAGAGGAACGAGCTGTGGGTCATTATAAGGAACGATATCAGTCCTGCTTGTACATATTTATATGCATATAAATATATCTTCACAGTTTACAGAGCTAATGGCAACAGAGGAGCCTTAGGTTTTCATTTGAAATGTTTAACTGCCTAATAGTAAGCTGATTTTTTTTGTTTTTTATACTTTGTACCATGCACAGTATTATTGAAACTGAACTGTTGGACTTATTTTTTTGTCTGGCTGTTGATGCTGGATTGGATTTACACTCGTCGGCATGTTGCTTGCAGCGTGTCCTTCAGCGTGGTTTAACCTCCTGATAAATGGTTTTAGATGATGGGTTTGCTCATGCATATGCATTCAAGGAATAACGAATCTGAGCCAAGGCATGCTGCCAAATCTCCAGTCTCTAGAACCCGCATCAATTACTCCTAAAGGCATTTAATTACACAGAAAGGCTGCAAAGAAGATGCACTTCTAACCAATGTGGATTCCCTGATTGCTTAGAGGGTCAACATGTCAGCCTGCTGTGCTGATCCTGCCCAGACATTTCAACAGTTGTTTTTTAAAGAGGGAAGATTGTCAGTGTTCAGACTGAACTGTTTGTATATTCAACATTTGAAGCATATTCTATTTTGTTGTACTCTTGTTTCAAAGTGTATTAAAGTAGATTTTACTGAAATACACAGAAAACTTGGCATATTTCATTATTTCCTGATTTGTTTTGTGGTTCTTAAAATTTAGCACTTTACCTTCTTGCATGTGTGAACCTCCCCTTTATATCATTTTATCTGAACATAGTCCGGGGGGAAAAACACGGAAACCCTGTTTAAATATTTTTAGTTAAGATTCTGACTTCCTGGTATACACCAGCCATTCAGTTTCAGTTTGGTTTTATTGACATTCCTTATGAGGTGTCAAACTATATGAGAAAGGAGTTGCTTTAAAATGGGTTGTACATCTAGAACCATTAACATCTATTTGCCGTGACAGGGTCTAAAGCCCAGCGACAACTCCATATTGACACCATCAATTATATCACTAAAAGTGTAAGGATACATCATCTATGGGAAACCAAGCATCTCGGCATCAACCAACTCCAACATCATGTCAGCTTGGTGCTGCTGTATATTTATAAAATCTTAACCTACAGATCATTGAGGGTCATTCCTTTCATACTTATTTAAATTATGGCAAACTTTTTGCTGCACAATCCAGAATGGAAATACATTTCAAATGGAGCATAAATATTTGTCATTACTGTTAGATGGAGATGCTTTTTAGACCTTTTATCCATTAAAAACAGTGAAGTCTTCAGCTTTCTTGCTGCATTTCTTCATAATGCTACAAAGTATTAGCATGCTAACAGACCTCTGATGTCTAAAGCAGGGGTCTTCAACGTTTTCCAGGGAAAGGACCCCCCCAAATTGATGGCGAGATGGAGCAGGGACCCCCTAACTATAAATATATTGTATGAAATTGTGTCATATCAAACTGGTCCTATAGTCACTCGATTACAGATGATGCAACAAACATAATTCCTCCCTTGGGTTATTACTATTTCTGATTCTGATTCCTGGTTGATGGGACAGGTGTTGTGAATGAAACGGTGCCCAGCTTGAAAGAGCTCCTGTGTGTCGCTGAATGTGTGCATTGATGACTGAAAGACATCTTCTGCCTCCATTTATTTGTTTACTACAGTGTGTTGACTTCATGTTAATGTGGATTTGAAGACATTTCAATTAGTAGAAAAAAATGCAAGGGAATAAAAAAAAGTGATCAACCAAAACTTTCATGACCCTAGCAGACAAAAGTAATCTTTTTCACAAGTAAATGCTTATAAAAAGGTTGAATTAAAAAAAGAAATAGGGCAAATCCATTTTTAATTTCATTCAATATTATATGATGGCAGTATGAAAGAGTATTATTTTTACAGTCTGATTTTAGTATAAAAAGTTCATCAAGGAGCAGCTTGATTGAAGATGATGGTACGAGACGGTAAAGCTGGTGCTGAAACCCGACTTCATGAAGGAAGACTTCAGCGGCGTGTTTCTCTTCAACACTTTAAAAACATCTCAATCACTCCACACTGGTTTCCAAGCCTCATGTCTTCACATCTTCACTCACGTGAAGCTCTCTGTGGAGTGAAGCAGGGAGGGAGTTCACCTCAACTCCAAGGCATCAACGCTTCCCATCATGCGCTCTCCTTCTCATTCCTTCTCCCTGAAGCTGAAATCACAGACCAAAGAGAGGTGGTCTGATGGATAGCTGTAGGATGGAAGCCTGTCGGGTCCGATTTGCTCCTCATCCGGCATGTCCAACACCGCGTCCACCCTCAGCGTGTCCTTAGTGTACCAGATGTAGTCCAGAGTGGAGCAGCACTCGCCTGTGCCTCGGATCTTCCACGTTGTGTACTCCGGCTCGCTTACACCATCCTGACTGAGCTTCTTATAGGCAGAGTCCAAACCTAGAGGAGAAGTGGCAAACCGTCGGTACACCTCCTCTGATGGGACGGCGTTGAAATCGCCACAAATAAGCAGAGGTACTTCAATGTTAGAGTTGTCGCCGCTCAGCTCTCGGACCAGATTCTGGACGTGCCAGAGGAGATCTGACCCCTGAGCGCTGCGAAGCCACTCCCAGCCTGAACGGGCCTTAAGGTGGGTCGCAACCACGCACAGATACCTTCCAGTGCTCCGACAGCGCAGAGTTGTTACCACGGCAACCTAGGGAGAGAGTGGAGAGTGTTAAAGGAGGTCTTAATTCTTCCTTTAGCAAAAGAAAGAAATGTTACCTACTTGATTAGTGGGGATCATCATGGCTGAGAGTCGGATGTCGACGCTGTCCAGGAGCTCGAAGCGGGATTCGTCGAAGAAGAGGGCGCAGCCATCGGGACCGCTGTTACCCTCAACATCCAGGCACGGAGACCAGGGTTTGGGACAGAAATGGCTGCTGTAGCCCAGGCTGGCCAAAACTGGCTGGAAGGTGTCATAGTAGTGGTCTACTTCCTGCAGGCAAAGGATGTGAGGTCGGTATGCTAGGATCTCGCCCAGGATGAGGTTCTTCCTACGCGACCAGCTGAGGGCCTCCAGGGGACACCGGACGAAATTATCCACTCCTACGCCCAGAGCTGAGGGTCAAAGGAAGGAGCGGCGTTAGAGAGGGAGGAATGAAACTTTTAATAAAAATCAGAGATATTGCACAAATTAAAAACAAGAATAGGAAGGTTAACTTAAAATTGATGGAAAGGGAAACACTTAGACTAAAATACACATGCATGCTTTTTGGTGTTTTTTAATGACAGTAAACCAGAAACTCCTTTTATTTCGTAAATGAACCTTTCTGTTGCATAAAGTAGTTTACAAATGTGCCTACCTTGGGCTAAGATGTTCCACTGCATCACCCTGATGGGGCTGCCGACTGCGCCGTCTCCATCGCTGACGTAAACAAAGTTCCTGTGCAGCCGAGGAGGCTGGTCCCTGAGGGCCTCCTCACACTGCCGGAGCAGCTCCGATGGATCAAGGGGGCATAAGGCGGAGTCCTTCTGCTGCTCCCGGGAACACACCACACATGGCCTTCAGTTTTATGGTTAAAATGAATACAGCCAGGTGAAAGTCAAGAAGGTGTGCTCACCAGGCAGAAATCTGAATCCAGGTTTGGAAGCTGGGGCTGGTGGGGGCTCAGGTAAGAGCTGCTGCCGCTGAACGTCTGGGTCAGGGTGCTGTACAGCCTGGTGGCTCCTCCACCCATCGGACAAACTAGTGGAGAGAGAAAGCCCCCCCATGATTACCATCGGAGAAAGTTTACCCTTCAAAAAGACAGCTGGAGTCAACCTGGAAACATAAAAACCTCCACATTATTCTTAGTTCTGAGCCTTCAAAGCATCACAGCTATATATATACGGATTCCTGTCGATTTCCACAAGTTTTGGTGCCTTAATTACAATTTAATACAATCTGACGTTTTAGTTTCGTTTTACAATCTTTGTGTCTGTATTTAAAATAGATGAAATGCTGAGTTCTCTGAATAGAAGGAACAGACACCACTGGCAAAGATTAAAATAAGAATGTAATTGACAGAAATAAGAGACATGTGACACAAAATCATGCAAATAACAAATAATATTTTAATTGAGAGCAAAATTTTAAATATAATTTTAAATCTAGAAAATTGTCTCACAGTTTTCAAGTCTTTGTTAATCACAGCTTCAAATTCTAAATAGAAAAAAAACCTGAACGTTTTAATTACAGTAAAGTCATTCGGAAACAACAGGAGGCATCTAATGCACGCTAATTGTCGCCCACAATCCCTCCACGCCCACGTTTGGAGTTCTGGACTAAAGAGAAACAAAAAAAAAATCATGTGTAGGATTTAAAAACAGCCATGTTTCATTTTGGTTTTTAACTGTTTAACCTGGTTTAATAAAACCTAAAAGAAAAGGCACATGGTGAGAGAAGTCTTATCTGCGATCAGAGTGTGAGCGGATGTAAACGAATGGCTAAAAATGTCAAAATCAACAAACACAAGTAGTTTGTCGGTCTGTTTACAGCAGCGTAGATTCCTCAGCCCTTCAAGGTTACTGGGCGACATTCCAGTCAGTCCTTGGTATTCACGTGAATCTTAAAAAAAAAAAAATATTTCAAGAGCAACATCCTGTGTTGACAGCCCTGTAAGTGTCAAAAGATTAATCCCCGTTTAGAGGTTTGGTCCCTCCCAGGAGATGCCTTTCATTGGCTTCAGACTTTTGTTTTTGGAGACTTTGCATTAACTAGCTGCATGTCTCTGGATCGAATTCTACATTGCTGAAAAATTCTGTCTGCATCTTTTTTTTTTGCAGTCTAACCAATGAAAAAGCTCAGTTTTTCTCTTTGTTGTTTTCCACAGCCTAAAGTATCAGCTTTATTTTTTTCATAAATAAAGATTTAATAAGTTATTTACTGCAGTAAAAATGAGATCGGACTCGATCTGTATCCTGATTCAAGGGTCTAGTTGGAGCTAAAGCTCAGGCGGGACTCTGTACTGTACGTCTGCATGGCTTGTTCACTTAAAACAAACAAAAAAAAAAAACTAAAGCAATAGAATCAATAAATGTAAGACTGATGAAGTGTTTATAAAACAGAGTATCTCATCCAGATTGAGTCCAACTGGACTTTACTGCTAGAATTCCAGTTGTTTGGAGATGGATGGAAAAGTTCTCACAGTTTTCTTCCAGCTTATCAGTTTCCACAGAGAATGAATGCAAACCTTGCAGGGGAATTAATTCTTCCATTCATGGTCAAATCTATAATCCCGCAGCTGCAGCACAGATTCAGTCCATCAACATTTAAAGCCACATTTTCCTTTCCATCTCAGTTCATGACTTCATTGAATTAAACAAATTTCTCCAGGCATAAAAGATATTCCAGTTGATTAGAATCAGCCTGATCAGATGTTTTTTTTTTTTTTTGCTGTATTTAACTTGAAAGTCCTCATCAGCTGTGCCTTAGAGAATAAAACTCCCGTACATTGGCTCAGCAGAACGGCTAGGTCTTCATCCGCTGAAATATTTCCACCTACAAAATAAAACTCACCTAACGTCTCCATTGCCGCCTTCAGTCGCAGGACTTCACTAGAATGTTGTCTGCCTCTCCTCTCGGTGCTACCGTCCTCCTCACTGACCTGTTTGCTGTCAGCAGAGAGCCTGATGTGTCTGTCTGGCCCTCCTGCTCCCGCCTTTAAAGCCTCCACCTCAGGAAGCCGCCGTCACCAGTGGCCTTTTAGGGAGGTTACATGCTGTGGGGCTGGTTCAGTGTGTTACTGTGTTGTTGTGAATCACCACCGTGCTGCATAACTGCATAACAGCGTCTGCACAGGTGCACCAAACGTGCAGGGCTTCTTCGCCGACTCCCACTTTCTTTGTGGCAACATGGCTCACATAACTCCAAAAAACAAGTTTACCTCTGTGGCACAGACTGGTTTTTTCCACGTTGAATGTTGTACTTTTCCACACCGATTCACCTAGATTTCGTCGAATTGCTTAAAAAAGACTGGAAAAGTAGGAACTTTGAATATAACCCAGCTGCATAATAAAACAATTATTAAAAAAGATCCCCAATGTGTTGCATTGACAAAAGAGACTGTTTCTACACGGCTGAATCATCTGCAACAGTGTTGTGTTTTGCTTCTGTTGGCCCATATATGGCTGCAGATTTAAAGCAATGGAGACTTTTACAAAGATAGAGTCAAACACTAATTAATTAACGCACTAAAACCTGTAGTTTTCCATCTTTGAAGCTCTTATTGATGAAACTATATATTTTTTGTCATCCTGGGAGTTTAAAGGATTTTAAGGAAAATGATTCCGACGCACCTGGAGATTGCCTTATTTATCTCCATAAATGCATTGGTTTGTCCTGTTTAATGGTACAGAACTGGGGCCACCTTGGAAAGAACGCAAGAGCATCACATGGCATCTATAAAAAACAACTGTATCTTGCTTAAATGTTGATACCTCTTGAAGTTTCCACTTTTTTTGTGGAATGCTAAACTAACAGGTGTACCTGGCACAGAGTAGGGGAAAACTGTGGGCCAATTAACGATTTAGTCTGTGCCCAAGTTCAGCAGCTCTTTAAAGGCCTCAGTGATAAAAAAAAAAGAAGAATTGTATCAGAAAGGTCACAGAGAAAGATGTGAAAAGGTTTAAAAGACTGAGAAGCAAGCAAGCAATCAGGAGGCCTCCGATACCTGGAAAGGAGCTGCAGAGACCTGCAGCTGATATCATGGGGAACCTGCTGACACGACAAGTAGATCTGATCGAATTCCAATGATCTAGAAAACAATGAGCTACAACTCAAACTCCAACAATTCATGTGTGTTTCAGAGTTGACAGTTCGGAAAGACTCAAGCAAGGAGCTACAGAACCAGAATCACCAAGTGGATAAGGAGCATTCTTTGTGCTCCATCAGATTATCCAAAGTTAGGAGATAATAAGGTCCCTGATTTGGTCTGTTTTCATTTCACCGCCCTAATCCAGAGGAAAAGATTATGTCTAAGAGCTTGTGTGTCAGCAAACAATCAGACAAAACCACAACAGAGAACTAACTGTTCTGCTAAGTAATGAGTGGTCACTATCGTTTCAGCAGCGTTCACAAATCTGTGAACATCTAATCAAAACCAACACGGTTTGTTTCCCAGCAGGGAGGCAGCTTTAGGAAGGGATCCAGAATTACGCTGACTCAGCTTCTTCTTTGACTCATAAGCTGGTACAATGGCTCCAGGCAAAAAACATCAGGCAGGAGGTGCGTTCAGGTTCACAGTTTTAAGGAAACCGAAGTGACCAAAACCAGCTTCCTCTCATGGAATAGTGTGGATCCACGCAACCAGCTGGGATGCAAACCAATGACACTCAGCTTAGGCTTCATTTGAGAAACTGCAATAACAGAGCAAGCAGCTGAGAAAGGTATTTGTATAAAAACATTTTAGATTTCTAATTTGACCAAATTTAAGTTCGAATTGGCACCCAAACTGTTCCTACATGTATTGAAATGTTATTAAAATTTAAAATTAAAGCCATTTTAAATGTAGAAAACGACAGAATGAAGACTAGAATGAAACTCCTTTAGGTTTAAGGTCAGCATCCATTCTACTCGGCTGCAGTCCATCAGCATGCTGCGCCTCATTGGTCCTTCCACCTTGTTAAAGTAGAAGGACCAAAGCACCATTCAGGTGATTCTACAGCTTCTAGTTCTTATCTCCAGAGCTTTTTTTTTTATTTCCTGATTGCATCACATGTGATACTGGAAATGAAATCATCTTTACCTCTCTAGCAGACAACAGGAGAGCTTGAACTGCTCATAGCAAAAACCTCTGCAGTCTTTGGAAAGACGTAACCCTGGTGCATGACCCTGCCTCCACTATGTTTCACTGTGCTTTTTCTGTGATGTGCAGAACTGCTTTTGTGCCACATGTACCTTATAGAACTGTGCTCCAAATGTTTGGCTTCATCAGGTCATGACATGTTTTCCAACCTAAAGACAAATATCAGTCCAAGTTTGTATCGACCTTATTCTCACTGCCCAGTTCCAGCTTCTTATCTACATTAGTTCTGGATACCTTTATCTTTTATAATGCTGGTGATTATTTCTAACTATTTTAATTTATACAACTGATGACTTAGATCTTTTTTAATAATTGGTAACATTAATAAAAAAACAAAAAACAAATGCTTAAACTGAATGAAAAGTTGCATGTAGAAAATCAAAGGGTTTGCACACTTATAAAACAAGCTTATTACAGCTTTGGATGTTATGTTGTCCCTCCATAAAAATATTTTTCCATAAAACTGTTCAGAATAGGTTGCATAATAAATAATAAAAACCTTTCAGAGTTATATAACCAACTCTGATTTGTTTACCTCCCAGAAACACTGTATGTTAACAGGGTTTTTTGTGTCATTAAAGGATTTTTATATTTTTCAGAATCAAAATGGTGAATTGTATTTTTTTTAACATTCTGAATAAAACCCAAATTTCACCAAAAGCGACCTAACCATTTATTTTTTACCTTAATTTAATCATGCAATTTTTTTTCTGTGTGTGCATTTCTTTCCAGATACATAATTCATCAATAAGACGACATGTAAATAAAAGTGAAAAGAAATTGAAATAAACCCAGCAGCTTAATCAGAGATTGAATAACAGAAGTTAACCAAACCTGATAGGCAAGTTGTTAGAGGGAAGAAACCCGTGGTGCTCTCTTTTGTTCCTCACACACAAATTATATAATCAACAAATTGTGATATAACCAAACAGGTGAGAAAAAGCCATCCTTCTGGTTTAAACTGCCATTATGGAAGTTACCCTGCAAGTATGATTCAACTATCTATTCATCTTCCTTCATTTCAGCTACTGTGGAAATATTAAGATGTTAGTAGTGAGATTGGCTCTAGATTAATATCTTAGAGTCTATATGAGAACCATCACGGAGGGAAAATCCCCTAAAAATGTGAGCTGAGCCCTTCAGGCCAGATCAGGCCAGATCCATGAGAGGACTGCTGCAGGCAGACACGGTCTGGATCGGAGGTCAGCGACCTTTACAACAATGGGAGACATTTTTGCTTTAGGTTCAGCTACAAAACAAAAGAAATTCTTGTAAAGCTACAAAAGCAACATCAAACACATTTGCTTATTATTACAGCAACAATGCATCCGGAGCGTTTTTACAGCACTACACTTTTTCCACATATAGTTTTGTTATACTGTACTACAAAAAATAGAAAACTACATATAACATTATTAAACACCATCTACTTTAAATATTTGTTTTTCTTTTACTTAAAAATATATTGTTTTCTTTGATTCTTTAAAATAAAGACATCTGACTTTTACATTAAGGGAACAAAAACATTTTCTACAGTCGAATGACAGTATGATAAATGATTTCATTTCTGTTCAGAATTTTCCTAACAAAGTACAAAGTTTCCAAACAACGTAATAAAAACGTAATAAAAACAACGGAAAGATCACAATCTTTGCACTGTTAGTGTAATTCTTTGCAGAAAAAATACTATTCTGATAATAGAGACGCGTCAATCCAGTTTTTTTAAATCCAATACAAAACCTGGGCTTTGCTAGTTACCAGTAGAGTCCATAAAAGAAGGTTCACAGAAAGGAAAACAGGCCCACAGATTCTCCACCTCATTTAAAGGTGGGCATGAGGCGCCAGTTTAGCCAACTAGAGAGCAAACACTCCATCTGCCTCCACATAGTGAGAAAATATTCCAGTACAGACCTAATGACCTAAAGATGAAACATTCTGCTGCAGTTCTTCACAGAGTGAACTTTGAGGATTTTTTTCCCCCTTTCTTCTTTCTTTAATTATACTTAAATCAAACTGGAACTTTTAGCCACTAGGGGGCACTAGACCTGTAACTTCCAGGATTAGCCACACTGGAGGCCCCTGGCCACACCACAATAACGCAAACCAAACAGTCTCTGATAAATCTGCTAATCCTAAATTAAATCCTACTCAGGTGAACCAGAAATAGGTTAATTATATTCTTCTAGAAAGCAGAAGAAGGGAAATAAGCTTGTAATAGACAAAAAAAAAGGATTGTGTCCTTGGACAAGACACTTCACCTGCATTGTCTACTGATGGCGGTCAGAGGGCCCGGTGGCGCCAGTGTACGGCAGCCTCGCTTCTGTCAGTGAGTCCCAGGGCAGCTGTGGCTACAGTGTAGCTTGCCACCATCAGTGTGTGAGTGTGTGCGTAAATGGGTGAATGACTGAATGTAGTGTAAAGCGCTTTGGTCAAGTCTCCTGACTTGAAAAAGCGCTATATAAGTAGATGCCATTTACCATTTACAATAGTTTTAAAGGGAATGGAAGTGGGACCACATATTTGCCACCATTTCAAACTGAATCCAAATTCAAGGTTAAAAGATTAATATATTTAAAGTGTTTTAGTTTAAACTTTTCAGCACTTTGGGAATCTCACAATAAAATAAGCGCTCCCCACCTACCTCATCTAATAAGGGCAAAGCAGAGGAATTCTATAGCGAGGTTATAGAGTAAATAAAATAGAATGAAAAAATACATCTGTAGGTCTTTATGGGGGAATTATTCTTGACAGGGTACAGAAACAAAACCATCAGAGATCCAAGACGTTCTGTATTCATACTATAAGGATTCTTGAATTCACTTTTTACTTTTAAATTTCATTATAACAAAGACTAAGATCACAAAAGTTTAATGTTTTTAATGTTGTTTTGATTTGATCTCAGCAGCCGTGATGATATAAGCAGTTCTTCCTTCTTCTTTAATTAAAGACAATAAATATATGTTGCT